TTTTTGAGACAGAGTCTGGCTCTGTTGCCCAGGCTGGAGTACAGTGGCACAATCTTGGCTGATTGCAACCTCTGCCCCCGCCAGGTTCAAGTGATTCTCCTGCCTCAGACTCTCTAGTAGCTGGGATTACAGGTGCCCGCCACCACGCCTGACTAATTTTTGTAATTTTAGTAGAGACGGGATTTCACCATGTTGGCCAGACTGGTCTGGAACTCCTGACCTCAAGTGATCCGCCTGCCTCAGCTTCCCAATGTGCTGGGATTGCAGGCTGAAAATAAGCTTCTTTTTAATAAGTTTAAAGACATTCTTTTCTGCAACAGCATCTCCTTAGAGTGTGCTCGTTTTTCTCTTGGCTTTTTATTTCCTAATTAGCTGATATTATCTTCTGTTTTTTTAATGTAACAAATTAACCCTTTATCTATTTTAGATTGAAAAGAACTTTTCTTTTTCATATGACTGTTAAAGGGTCTTCGCCTTGTGAAGATACTTTTCCCCTATGTTTTGTGGTTTAGCAATACCACATATTGCATAATCCACATTTCCTCAATTGATGTGAAATGCCATCTTTATCATATATAGTATATTCCCTTTATACTTGACGGTTTCTGCCCTTTCTATTTAATTTCTCTACTTCATCTCCTTATTGAGTCACCTGTATCACACCACTGAAGTGGTATAGTATAGTTGACAAGTTTTTTTTTGTTTGTTTGTTTTTTTTGGTTTTTTTTTTTTTTGAGACAGAGTCTCACTCTTGTTGCCCAGGCTGGAGTGCAATGGTGCGATCTCAGCTCACTGAAACCTCTGCCTCCCAGGTTCAAGCGATTATCCTGCCTTAGCCTCTCAAGTAGCTAGGATTACAGGCATGTACCACCATGCCCAGCTAATTTTGTATTTTTAGTAGAGACAAGGTTTCTCCATGTTGGTCAGGCTGGTCTCGAACTCCTGACCTCAGGTGATCTGCCCGCCTCAGCCTCCCAAAGGGATGGGATTACAGGGGTAAGCCACGATGCCCTGACCACAAAATAACTATTTTAATTATTACAATGAGATAGGACTTATTAAAAAGTATCAAATACTTTTTATTAGCTTAGCATGCCTGAGGGAGTAGGAAACCTCCCTCATATAGAAGTGTTGAAAGTAGTAGGTATGCCAGGTATGGTGGCTCACACCTGTAATCCCAGCACTTTGAGAGATCAAGGGGGGGTGAATCACTTGAAGTCAGGAATTCGAGACCAGCCTGGGCAATATGGTGAAACCCCATCTCTACCAAAAATACAAAAATTAGTCAGGCATGGTGGCAGGCACCTGTAATCCCAGCTACTTGGGAAGCTGAGGCAAGAAAATCGCTTGAACTCTGGAGGCAGAGGTTGCATTGAGCAGAGATGCCACCGCACTCCAGCCTGGGTGAAAGCAAGGCTGCGTCTCAAAACAAACAAACAACAACAACAACAACAAAAGTGGTAGTTATGGTAAAATTGGGTTTTTTTTCTTAATTTTTTTTCCTGCATGTCCCTAATGGAACGCTATTCTTTTCAACATATTGGTTTTAGTTAATATGGTTTTTCCAGGTAATGAATCTTAGCATCTGGGAATTATGAAAATTACCTCTTCCCCTCATACTGTTACCACTATTTTATTTGGTAAATTGCTACTTAGTTACAATTTTGGAGGCAGGCTTGATGGCTACTATTCAGATAATCAAATCTTACATAACCAACTAGCCATGGTCATAATAGAGTTCCTCAATCATTCAAATATTTAGGTTGCCAAGGACACAAAACCATCAGGTAGGTTACAAACACATGCAGAGTCACAGTCAAACATCATTCAGAGAACCACCAACCTACAGGCCCCACTTGTCCATTCACAACCTCAGACAGCAGCTAACACGATTCTAGGCAAAGTCACAATCACATTCACAAATCACTTTCAATTCTCCACACGAATAGACAGTCTCAAATGCGACTCACACCTAATCTAAAAATAGACACATGCAGAGGAAACCTTGCGCAGCAACACGACTCCGTCCACTTTTCACACGCAATCGGCCGCAACATCCCAAGGAGGCAAACACCTAAAATGCAGCAGGTTGGGCGCCGCAGGCCACCCCCATTCGGCGCGCGCGCACACGCAGCGCCCGCTCTGCGCGGGAACCCGCCGCCAGCGACGGCGCTTCCGCGGGGTCAGAATGCGCAAAATCCCCCTTAGCGGAGCTCGCTCCGGGTCACCCTCAAGGTCACGCCCACGGACCACGCCCGAGGCCCGGCTAGTACAGATCGCAGCGTCTGGATACCGCGGTCCCGGTTCCCTCCTCAGAATTACCGGGTCCAGCTCGGACTCTTGGTTACCTCCCTGGCCTCCCCACCTGGTTCCGCGTCCTCAGACAGCTCTTCCGGATCGGAGCTCCTAGTGCCCTCCTCGGCCTCCTCAGCACCCCTGGCACCCACCAAGCCTCACCCCCGGCCCAGGGTTAGTCGTCTGCGCCTGCGCACTCGCGCGTGGGCCTGAGTTCCCAGGAGTCTTCGGGGCGGGTAGTTAAGCGCCGAGCGGTGCCTGCCACTGCGCTCTCCCCCGTTTGCACCCACGGCGGCACTATTCCGGTTGAGACTACACTTCTCCGAGGACCCGGCTCCCTTTTCCGTTGACCTGGCAGTCGTTTTCCGTGTGGTGAGTTGAGGTGACCCGGTCTGGATGCGAGAGGAGCTCACGGCAGGGGACCCGGGTTCCTGGGACGCGGATGGGGCTTGTGGAGGCAGAAGCCCCAGGGCTGTGTGCAGGTCACCTGCTGGGGAGGAGGAGTGTGTGATTGTGTTTGTGTGTGCGTTTCTGTAGCTGCGTTCGTGTGTGGTGTGATTGTGAGTGGGCGCGCCTGTGACGGGCCAGGGGTGTTTGCACACGGGGGAGGCCCTGGACAGTCCCCGATTGGGCCCGCCCGACCGAGTGGGGGCGGGGCCGTTAGTGTGACGGAGCTGAACGGTGACTGTGAATGTGTCATGCTGTGACCAGTGATCCTGTGGCAGTGCTGTTGTGACCCACTGGAGACTGTGATCAAAACTGGCCCGGTGCAGCTTTTGTAGAGTTTGATTGCTGCAGTTCTGGAGCTCAGGAATACGTGGACAAGATCCCCGGGTGTCTTGATCTGTGTCTATGGAAGACTCCGAGACCTTCTGTCTAAAGCATGGCCTCTGTTGCTTTCATAATGTATAATACACAGTGGCATGCAGCCTCGCCAACCCCTGGGGCCAATTTTAAGTTAAAGTGGTTTCTTGGAGTTTGTTGTACTGGGATTTCTCTCATTGCCTCAGTCATTTCACCTTATAACCACATTGCAGTGTGCAGTCAAATGGTGATCGAAGGGGAAGTTGGATGTTAGATCCAGAATGAAGGTTCCAACTGATAAAGCACAGCCTTGTGTTTCATACAGACAAGGCTGTGTTCTAATATGCACAGCCTTGTGTTTGATATTGAGATGTTAGAGCTGGAATTGCTCAAAAAGTTTTGCTCCCAAGGCAGGGTTCTGGGAAGATATGATATTGAGGACGCAAGACTAGGATTTCTTCCTCTAAAGCTTCCCCCTCACCTTTTTATTTTGAGACAGAGTTTTGCCCTTGTTGACCAGGCTGGAGTGCAATGGTGCGATCTCGGCTCACTGCAACCTGATTCTCAGGTTCAAGCAATTCTCCTGCCTCAGCCTCCCCAGTAGCTGGGATTACAGGTGCCTGCCACCATGCCTGGCTATTTTTTTTTTTTTT